GACCGGTCCATTGAGCCGCCCCGCTTCCGGCTCCGAGTCGTGGAGCACCCCAACTGGGTTACACGGTCCGTGCGCAAAAGAAAGGTCGACTGGAACGCCGCGGTGGACGCAGGTCCAGCACCGTTCACCCACCCCACCGCGACTCTGCCGGACATCTACAAGGCAGTTTTGGAGACCCTAGGACGCGAAATCTCGGAGGCTACGCTGGAACAGATCAACAACCTCCACAAAGACGACACCACTCTCGACCTGCCCCTCGAGGGAGACAAGGTCTGGTTCGATGACTACAGCTGGATTCAGCTTCCCGTTAAGCGTTCTTCGTACCTAGCCATCGACCCAGACGACGACGGTGACTCTGACGACACCGGCACCGTAGGCGACAACGACCGGTACCTCGACTGCGATTTCGATTGCGGCGACGCTTTCGCGGACGAGAACGAGAAGACATTGCAGGGCGATTCTGACACGGCTGGCAAAGATTGTGACGGCGACTATACAATGGCTCCCTCCGGCCCCAAGGCGCAGAGCGTTGCGCAGAGTGCTGCTGCCACGAATAACTCAGCACCGGCCGCCGAACCCGCGGCTGCTAAGGGTCCGCACCCTGGACATATGCAGGTGTCTTGCCAGTTCACGAGCGAGCAGAGATTGAGACGCATGCTGCGAGACAACAAGAGCGATCCAGCTAGGGAGGATAGCTACCGTCTTCAGGGAGTGCAGCTCATCGATAACGTCCGCACCATGCTGCGCGTGTATGTTGGACCCTCGTTCTGGTTACGATGGCAGGTGCTTGATGAAGTGGCGATGCTGACTTTTTACTCGCAGCCCTATCAAGACGTTTGACACTGCTTGTGTCTACTTCCACTGGTTCAGACTCTCGTTCCGCGATGCCGAGTACAACTACTCAGATGCTGCCATGGCTTGTCTCTTCCTGGCCTGCAAGGTTGAGGACACCATCAAGAAGTCCAAGGAGATCCTGTGTGCTGCGTACAACATTAAGAATCCCGAGCACCCGACGACCCAGGACGATAAGGTGTGTAATGACCAGTAGTCTACTATTTTGCTGTGACTAACCCAATCGCAGATGTTCGAACAGCCCTCCAAGATCATCATCGGCCTGGAGCGCCTGGTCCTTGAGACCGTCGGCTTCGACTTCCGCTGCCGCTACCCCCAGTCCGCTTTGCTGAAGGCAACCAAGAAGATCCTGGGTCCCCAGTCCAAGACCGTCTTCGCTACCGCCATGGAGATGAGTGTCGACCTGTACAAGACCTTTGCCCCAGTCAAACAGACAACCTACGCCCTGGCTCTTGGTCTTCTAGAGCTCAGCGCCCGCCTCCTCGGCCAAGGCGTCGACAAGGTAGAGAAGATCAACTACGCAGACTTCCACACGACGCGCCAAAACGTCGTCGAGACGGTCCTCGACCTCCTCGACCTCTACACCCAACATGGCAAGTCCACCAAGCTCGGCGTCCAGTTCGACCTCAACAAATTCATCGAGGTCAAGATCGTCATCAACAGCGAGGTCGACAACACTCCAGGACTCGTGCGCTACGCCCACTGGTGCACCAACTGTGACGGCGGCGAGGACGAGAACCTCTCCAACGGCGTCTCCGTCCTCAAGAATATTTCCTTCTTTGGTAGCAACTCTGCTAAGCGCAACGGACGCAACCAGGACGGCACCATGCGCTTCGTGTTTGACCCGGACCGCGCCCGCCAGGAGCGCAAGGAGGTCGAGGCTTACTACCGTGACGAGTATGAAGAGTACGAGGTCGAGGTTGAGGTTCCCATTGAGCCTGAGCAGCGCCGCGGCGGCAACAACAATAACAACCATAACCACCGCGATAAGCGTCATGAGGGCGGCGGCGGCGGTGGTTGGGGCGGTCGTCGTAACCACCATGGTCGTGCCAAGGGCCGCGGTTACTACTGAGCTTGCTTGCTACCTCTATCATCACCTTCATCTTTGAATCCGCTCTTCACCGCGCGGCGGTCACTACTTCTGTCGACGCTTACATAGTACCCGCCAACGAACGAGGCTTTGCACATCGAGTGTATATGGGAACGAAGGGAAACTTTGTCCGATTATTTGGCGTTGACGGTACCAAAAGATACCCCATGGGAAAAGAATTTGGAATGCTTTTTTTTTTTTTTTCCGGGAAGGAAAAAACACTACTTTGGCGGTTTGAGTCCGCCCGCACGTCACATTGTCAGAACTACGATTCAAATCACGAAGCTTGTATAAGCAGATAGGAATTGACACATGACGTTGCAAAATATCGTGCCATTGTTTTGTGCGTGATTGCCCAGTAACAGCCCAACGTTGAGTAACCTCATTCAAGATACCGAAAAGTCAAGATGTTGACAAGCTCAATCAAGGAAATGAACATCATCAGGTAAGAAAACAAAGCACCTCTAATCGAGGCCCTTGGAATTGATTGAGGTGCTGAGGCCACATCGACCATGCAGACTGCCTAGGCATTTTAGGCCACATTACAGCGGTCCTCACTGCCTCACTTAGGCTGAGAGGAGCTGACCGGTATTGTTGGTTTTGATAGGTAGTCGGGTTGAATTTCTTCGTTTGGGACTCAGCGTGGAGGCCGCCTTCCAGAGGTAGCTTGCAGAGCTGAGCCTGCATGCAGTGGAACACCCAACACGAATATGAGGAGACCCGCCTCAGTGGCCTCACCTGTAGGCTGTCTTGAGCGTCTTTTAGTGACAGTCTGATGCTGTGCCGGTTTTCCTTTGGAGGCGCATAGCAGGTCGGCGCAGGCTGGGAGGGGGAGCGGTTGTGTTACACATACCCATGCCTGATAGGCGGTTATTTCGAGTTCATCCGCGAGGCAGGCTTGAAGGCTCACTGAGATAGTGCATGTTTCCCTTATTTCAATGCACAACGCGTCATGCGCAGCTTTGTTGTGCATATTCGGTGTGGCCTCATGAATGAGGCCGAGACATTGAGATTTTACTCGATGTTGGATGCGGCGCGGTCAGAGGCCACGCGCCTGCTTACCTTGAGGCGCTCATTCCAGTCGTCTCGCTATTGTACGACGCTCAAGTGTATAAAAGATAGACAACACGCACTCGAATTGATATATCCTACCTCGAATTCTCACGTCTACACAACAACAATGCACACACGATCTACTCCGCTCGTCAAACCTGAGCCATAGTGCTTCATCCACCTACTTTGCCGCACCCATGATCATAAATGGAATGAAGTTTGGGCGGCATAGCATCATGTATTTAAGATGACTGTTATTCTTCACACAGGTCCTTTGATGGGCTCACTGAATCTCCTTCTTGTCCGTTTCTCCACGCATTGCGATTCATATACTAGACCATGGTCAATATAAATATAAAGTCTTTGCCCACCCCGAACTTGTGTTTTAATATTGTGAGTCTTCATGTTCCTCAGTCCCAGTCGGAAGCAAACTTTCAACATGTCCTCAGACCTAACATACTTTATTCACAGTCTGAGACCGAGCTTGGGGGATGAAGACAGACTTCATCCACCAACAACTATATGGTCTCAAAATCTGTAGGCTCCCTAGGTCCAACGTTTGATTATATTACCAGACACGTATGTTGACCTTGAATGCATCGCCTTAGCTCTTCATCTCCGGCTTCAGCTCAAACGCCAGTGAGCACAGGCTTTGCTTTTGATCGCACATACCCTGCTGCCCTGACTTTGGGCTCTAACAATGAGGCGACGTACATCCCATCTCATGGAGCATGCCCCCATGACTTGTGCTGCCATGCTTTGCATCATGGACCGCTTGATGGTTGCTCTCATGGTACCAACGACAGCCTCTCACGCAGCTCCTCCTATAGCGGAAGCACATGGCCAGTTGCTGGCCCCTCGCTCTCAGACGATCGCTTCCCGGATCTTGACCTGAGCAGTGTACCCTACTCAATCAACAACTTGTCTGCACATACCAGTCAACTGGATTTCCAAGCTGTTGATGCTTTCGAATGGAACAGTTTGCATGCTCCGCAACAGTCCCTCGCAGATTTGCATATCACCGACAATACACCATTGACAGCACAATGTCCAGGTGTGATCCCTTTGCGCCAGAGCAACGATACTGGCCTCGTTTCTTTGGGCATCCCAGACGACCAGTCTGTCCACGCTCTTGAGTCATTCGACTTCTCTATCGGCAGCGGATTCAACAATTCGATTTCAGTATTCCTCTCAGGCGCTGCGAGCCCCCAAGGATCTCTTCCACACAAACAAGGCGCACAGCCCGATGCTGTTGACTGGGATTCTCAGACCCCCCTCGCTGGGACTGGTAGCATTAAACGCTCGAGAGATGAGTCCGGTTCGGATGATTCATCAACCTCGGGCGATTGTCCGTTCTGTGAAAATTTCAGTGGAGATGCGAAGCAACTTAGGTTCGTGTACTCGTAAGATCCTCAACTTCGGCTCATGAATTGACATAGTACAGAGAGCATATCAGGTGCCACATCCGGAAGCATGTCTGCGCGGTGCCTCGATGTTCTCTGCGGTTCAGCACCGCAAGGGATCTACAGAGACATGACAGGTCTGCACATCGCAAGGAAACACTCGGATGCCACATCTGTAAAGCGACCATTCGTGGCGGTCGTGAAGACAACTTGAAGAGGCATGTTAGACAGAGACACTCATCGTGAAACATGGCTGGTCCAGTTCAATGTTCTTGCAGAGTGACAACCGTTTTATGATTCGTTCTATTGGCAGCTTGGAGTTGTAAACGCTCGTTGTTACGTTTTGGGTCAATCGTATTTAGGAGTGCACGAGTTGCGCATTCAATTATGCACGCCAGCCCATTTTCCAAAATCAACTTCGTCTGGAATCATTTTCTACTCAAAAAGTTTGAGTGTAAAATGCCTCCAATGATGATGCCTTTTCCAAGGGGATGGCAGAAGAGAAGCGAAATTCGCAAACATATACGTGAGGACAATGTTCCCATGTATGTTCAGCGGACCATGGAGGTAAGCCCCGATGAAACGAGATATGTTCAAGCACATCAGTAAAGGCTGCGCAGGTTGGATAGTCCTACAGCCTCAAGGTTCTCCTTGATCGTTCCATTCAGCTGAACGTTGAACGGACCCAGTTCCAAAGGACAGTAGTGTTCCTTGCCACACATGGTGTCTTGGAAGTAAGATCGAATGGCGGCGAACGCACACATGTTGTTCGTGGCGACAGTGGTGTGCTATGATAATGTTAGCGCATTGCACCTGTGAAGGAGATGTTGAGATTGAACTTACACCCATGCCATCAGTGACAAGTCTTCTAGCGTTGGCATACTTGGGCGCATTTGAGATGGCGCTGAAAACTCGCGTTAGCAAGGTTTATAAGCGTAGGCAGGATCAACTTACTTCTCAATGGGTGTCGTAGGATCGTACGTGTTACTGGTGAAGAGCATCGGGTACGAGGTGTTACCTCCATACGGACCCTTGAAAACGTCGTTGGATCTGATGGGCCACTCGAGACATGCGAGCATCGTCCTAGACCAGACTTCTCCCACGATACTCGTATCCTTCAAGCCATCCAGGAGAGGCTCAATGTCCGCGAGTGACTTTCCATACCAGATGTTGCTCTGATCAGAGCATAAGATGCCCAGAGTCTGCTCGGGGTTCACGTATCCTCCCATATTAGGATCTCCGTAGATCGCATTCGTCTGCTCTGTCCACGCAGCAATGGAGTTGGACGATATTGCCTTCTCCAAAGCAACGAAGACGTCGGAAATTCTGCTAAACTCGGCCAGCGGTTGCACCACCGCACTAAGGACACTGACTTTGAAGGTCACAAGTGCCAGGCCAATGTCAGTTGCGTTTGCCCAGCCCTCTGCCTCAGCCTTGTGAGCGTCAAGCTGCTTGAATGAAGCATTCCATCGGCTGAATATGTCCTTTGGAGTGTTTCCCGTATAGAAAGAGCAGATATCTGGGCCTGCGGCGTGACAGTACACGAAGAAAGCTCCCAAAACGCCGTCGACGTGGTTGATAGAGCTCGAGGTGAAGTTCGTCTGGTAGCTAACTGGGTCAACCAGTCCATCGATGGCAACATGGCCAACTTTATCAGGGAACATTGACGCAAACGTCTGTCCGAGCATGGTCCCGTAGCTCACACCGTAGTAGTTCAGCTTAGTCGAGTCAAGCACCGTACGATTACCGTCAGGAGAAGCAGAAAAAGCCTCAACAATGCTGAGCATATCGCGAGCGGTAACAGCAGTCGTCATATGCGGGCCAGCTTCGGTATCAGCACCAGTCTGAGCTTGACACTTTTCTCCGAGCTCCTTGCCAAAGTCGATGAACTGTTGGTAGTATCCATCGATCACCCGAGGGGCATCCCGTTCGGAAAGTGTACCGTTCTTGCCAATCGAGATGCCTGCTGAGCAATTGGGCCGCGGTTCGCTGATCCCGACACCGCGGGGATCAAAGCCGATGATGTCAAAGTTGGATCCGGCTGCGGCTTGAACCGTAGTGCCATTGTAGCGCGCCAGCTCGATGCCGGATGCGCCTGGTCCGCCTGGGTTGATGAGGATGGCGCCTCGGTAGGGGCCGTCTGGGGAGTCGGCGGCGGCCGGGATCTTGAGTAAGGGGACGGAAGCTCTGCCAAGGCTTGGATTCTTGTAATCGAGAGGTACCTGGGTAATTCTGTTAGTTGGAAATAGAGGGGAGTTGGAGATATGACTTACATCGAGCTTGGCGCAGAAGAATTGGCCTTCACATGGGCACCAGACGAGGTCTCGGGAGGGAGTGATCGAATCAAATGTGCAGTCTTGAGCTTCAACGGCTCGGAATCCCACGAGGGCAAAGGCCGCCGCCAGTTTCCAAGATGTCATTGCAGTTAAAGGAGGAGATGAACGAATGTGGTGGTTTGGTGTAAAGAATGAGAAGAGCAGAAAGGCGAAATTCTCAGTCGCTTCTCGGTTGGTCTAGATACTGCTTTGATACACCAGCATCGGACGGGGCTTTGATTGATATATATAAAAATTGCCAGGAAAGTTGAACCACTGCTAGACGACTTTCGAGAGGGAGTATGGGTGTTGCACTAGTGAGTGAGAAGGCAAACACCCCTTCCGAGACAAAACCTGTCCCCATTGGAACTTCTTGAGCTTGGCTCCGTCACCACCGCTCTCGTCATCTTACATCTGGCATCATAAAGTCCGAAGCCAAGTTGATCATTGCTGCCACTTACACTACTTAGAGCGTGAGGGGTTTCTGAGCAGCATCCGGGGCTGCATAGAAAAGGAGATTAGAAGTAGGCTGTGCTCGACCTGCGGGTCACTCGCAGGGTCTAAGAATAACCTGCAGCTGGACTCTACAAGAATGCGATGTTCCAAACACGCCCATACAATAATTAAGCTTGTCTTGATGTTTCCCGATGGAGAATCTCGACGTAGGTAGTCAATCTTAGGCAGCAGCCATTCCTCCCCCATACTCCGAACGGGCGAGCTTACCGGAGAAGATCACTCTAATCAAGAACACGTTGATGTTGTAGAGGAGTATTCTCTACCATGGCCACGATTGGGTCTCATGGATTTCGGATACGAGATGTCTCTAGCAGTTTCATTTCCTCTTGCGACGATGTCAACCACTTTGATGATAGAAATCCCTTGCTTGCGCTCTGTGATTGGTGGCGAGCGACCACCACGCCCATATCACTAGTCTGAAAATCGTCGCTTGCACCGAAAAGTTCCCATAGACCGTGACAGCTAAGTCGTACGATCTCCAGAACTAAGACTACCTCCAGGATATGAAGCTGGTGAAGGTGTAGTCGAGACAAGCAGGCGAGGCCACACGTGGGGATATTCCCATCAGGGAGACTATCCCGCTTCGCGTTAGTGTTATACGAGCAAGACAGGGATCGAGGGGAGCTTGGCAACAATAGAGTGGCTCCAAGACGATAGAGACCTAATGTAAGTCACATTTGGCTTCATTTCTGTCTATACGAAAGCTCCGACAAAATTTTGCAAACCACCCGATGGACGATTTCGTACATTACCTCACATATTCGGTTTATAGACAAGGTAAATTCTTGCCATTAATTGTTCACTGATATGCCATACCAGGTAGGTCACTGTCGAGACAGATGGAGCAGAAGAAGTCAAGGCTAATGGTGAACAGGGTGACGAGTGAATGAAGATCTCTCCTTCAATACCGTCTCTTGGAAACCAGCCATGCGTTGGCCAGAAGTTCATGGTCTTGAATGTCAAATTCATCGCGTTCTTATTAGAACATGAATGCATGGAGGTCGTCCACACACACTCTCTCTCTGTCTCTGTCTCTGTTGGGACTCTGAATATCTCGGTCATTCGCCTTTAACCTTAGGTGTGATCAAGTGAGTGCAACAAACATTCGAATGGCTACCCTACATATCAATAAGTACGCAAGCTGAAGTAACCCTTACTTCCGGCTCATAGCCTTATTGGCGCCTTGCATCAATGTCTCATCGAACGATACCAGAATGAGGCGCAACCAAGGCTCTCTCTCACGGAAGGATCGTGTTAGTCTAGCCACCGGTGCCAGCGCATGACCACTGACTTCCGGGGGCAAGGGGTCATTCAGTCCTACCATCACCTCTGTGAGGCCTACTACTTTGACTCTTTTCCGGGTCTCATTAGCGGTGAGCTTTAAGCGGACACCACCCCCTCCTGCCTAGTTGTGTACAAGGACCAGACTGCCCGGCTTGTGCCCATTCTGCTCCTTCTATTGTTAATTGCTGCTGTTTGCGTTGGAGATACTCGGTAGGCCTTCTAGGCAAACGAAAACCAGAACGAGTTGGAGGCAAATCCTATCCAAGGTGGCCAAGCAGACCGGTGTCCATCGCAGCGAGCTGAACGACTCGACTAGGTTTGTGGACCTCGGAGTGGACTCCCCGATGGGCATTTCCATTAGCAATGTCCTTCATAGGTAACTGGCCATGTCCATTCAGGGCGCCCGTTCTTTCAGAACAAACCTACCGTAGCCCCTGTGCACAGAGTCCTGGCGGTGGCCGTCGCTGAGCCTGACGAAAGAAAACGTCTTTCTCTCGGACCTTTCAAGCAGAACTCATTCTGCTTTTCTCCGGACGGCGACTACCTTTCCCTCTCGGAGACGGCGCCAACTCAACCCCAATGAAGCCTATGAAGAGAAAGAGCGGTGATGTAGTAGTATTAATAGTGGCAGATGCTCGCACTAGACAGACGAAGCCCATCAGCGTGTCCATACGATCTATAAGTCCACCCCTTGGCACGGTTGGGACGCAGACAGAAAGCGAGGGACAGGATATAGAGTTGATGAAGGCATATGTTTTTGTATGCATGTATTTTTTTCCTATTTTTGTTCTTAATAGTATCTACCATTTTGCAAATTCCGGTTCGCGTCAGGTAGAAGCATAGTTCAAAGCAAACAGGAGATAGCGTGCAACAGACTCAAAAGCACAACCATTTTCAAGTACCCAGGTAGCGTACGCCCACTACGCGATAGACCACGAAGAAACCTCGCTCCATCATATGGATATCAAATACATTGTGACAATGTCAGACGAGTCCCTACTCCAGTCTTGATGCCACATGTGTGAAAGGGAGACACCTTTCCCTCGCGGGCGTTGTCCACCCTACGGACCTGACTATACTCCTATCCACTTTTCTGTTCAGTCTGCAAAGTAGAGCCAGACTCTCTCTCGGCCGCTCGTCTCTGGCTGTGCTGGGCGCCAGGCTGTTTGGAGAAGAAGCTGGTGACGCGCCACTCGCCATCAAGAATGTAGCCTGGGTGGAAGACGGTCTGCAGCAGCACAGCCAGGCCGATCATGGCGCCCTCAAACACCATGAAGAGCGTCTCGGCGTTGTCACCAGCAGCGTTGAAGCCGTTGCGCAGCTCCTCGACGCGAAAGGCAGAGCGGGCGAGGATCAGTAGGGCGGCCGCAAAGGATCCTGAAAGAGTATCAGCAGACGAGGTATGAGCTGGGAATGAAGAGACACAGAACTCACCCACGAGGAAGTAAGCAAATGCTCTATGCTGACGGACATGAGCATACCGCGTGGTCCATGTGCTCCGGTTCCGTAGCACCCGGATTCCCATATCCAGCGAGAGCAAGACGAAAAGACCTAGACTGGCACACTGCAGTCCCAGACCGGCCCGCAGCAAGTCGAGCGCCCGGTCGAGGTCCTGGGGATTGAGTCCATCGGCCTGCGTCCATGCCGCACCGCCAGCCTGAAGAACAAGACAGATGATGTCAAGCGTGACGAAGATGATGGTGTAGGATCGATGAGGCATGAGTGACACGTGGGGGCCGTAAATGAGTACGATGCGTCCGAAGCAAAGGTAGATGGTGTAGCAGAGGAAGGCCGGGGCGATGGTTATGGTCACGATGTATCTGTGCAGAAACAATGAGGTAACCATCAGTTTTCCGTGTAGTCGGAACAGGAAAGGGCGAGAAGGGGAGGCCATTCACTTACACGATGAATGTCTGGTTGTTGAACGGGTCATCGCGGAGCCTAATACGCTCGACATAGCCAACCACCTCGAGCGCCAGTCCGCACGCCTGGCCGAACAGGTAGCTCCAGGTCTTATACCGGATCACAATGGCTATCTGTGCTATCAGGATGGTTCCGAACCAGGCCACCATGAAGGCGTTGCCGCCCAGGTTTGGCAGGAACCCAATCCTAGACAAGCTGACCGGGCAAGTGCCCAAGGTGCAGTCGCTGGTATCCATATCCAGTCTCTGTGTTTCTCGTGTTGTCAGGCTGGCTATAAAGAGTGTTAAGAGAAAGGTGGGAGGAGATGGTAGAGGAAGAGGCCCTCCAGGTCTTTATGGATGAAGATGTGTGTATAACATGCAGACAACTCGCCGGTAATAAAAGGAAATGATGCCCGCCTTTAAATGAGTGTTTGAGCAACCCCTTAGTGCTGAGATCCTGATAAGTATCCATTTCTGCCTGTCCACAGCAGTAGACTAAAGACTGTGACCTTAGCTTTTCGTCGTCCTTGAGAGACGATGGTTTTCAACTATCCATGTAGATGATTGAGCTAGCTAGCAACGAGCAAGGAAAACCAAGCTAGCACCAATGACTAAGCGGCAAATTTCCTCTTTCGGACGGTGCATAGCCCTGCTGGACACGACAAACCTGCATACGCAAGTACAACAGCGGGGAGAGGACGTCCCCAATGACTCTCATGACCCCGATGCTTATCAAGAAGTACGCGCGCACAGCAGATTGTTCGTCACATACCTAAGCGGTCCGTTGAGTAGCAACCGGAAGTGACCCTCGCCCACGACCGGCCTCTGACCGGAAAGTTAGCTGAATTGAGTACCGCCTCATATCCTGGTCTAGGGAGACAAAGATGACGCTGCTGTGTCCTTCAGCCCCAGCACCACTGGCGTGCAACTGGTTGGATGCCGTCGTTATCGTTGACTGACAGCTGAATTACAAGTTGTCGATGAAATCGGACACATAGGCAGTCCGGTAAGCATGATGCATGCGGCAGGTCGTGGCTGTATAAGCTATGTTGACCAGCGAGGTCTGCGGGTGAGCTCGAAGACGCTCGGCAACCCTGCCGTTTAATGACGAAGGACTTGAGGATTTGTGCCGAGACTTCTGCGATGTGATACTTGCAGCTGTCACCCCTGTGTTCGTATTGCTGCTGCTGCTGCTGCTGCTGCAAGTTGCTGCCTGCCTCCGGCAACAAGCTCAAGTTGCAGCCCTTGAGCACTCCCTTGTCAGCTGAGGAGTTTGAATGAAACAGGGAAGAGTACTTACCGCAATATCAGAGTTGTTGATCATTATCTTGCGTCCATCATCGACTCTGGCTGCGCGGAAGACATCGCTCTTTTCTGCCACGTAGATACCGAAGTGGTGGATAGGGGCCAGCCTGAAGAGCACAATCTGGCCGGGGATCAGGCGGTGTTTGAATATCATAGTGAACTTAATGAGGGATACCATGGTCGCGGCCATTCACTCCGTGGCCTATGTTGGCTTTGACAACGCCCACGTACAATGGGTAGCCAGCAGCAATGCTAAACACACCGGCCGTGTCGCCAGCTTGACTGGCAGTGCGGCCCAATATCGACGTAGCTAAGCTGGGCGGCTTCAATGCCAGTCTGAGCCAGCAGATCGCGGTACAGGTCCTGCTGCATGGCGGTGCTGGGGTGCGCGATGGATATGGCGCCGGCCGAGCAGCTGCAGACCGCACCCCTGACGACAGCTAGCACGGCATCTCGGTCGGTGATGGCGTCGGTTAGGGACTTCAGGACCACAATGCCTAGACCCTCGCCACGGCAATAGCCGTCAGCAGCGTCCTGAAAGGTGCTGCAGGGTCCCGAGGGCGACGGGGAGGATTCTCCAGCTCGGGCCCGCGTAGATGGCCGGGTTAGAGGGCCGAACAGACCAGCAGCACCGCCGACGGGCTGGAGGCGCAGGCCGAGTCGATGCTATACGAGAGCGTGCCCCAGCCAAAGTGGCGGTCAAACCGTCCCGGGACAAAGGCGTGATGCGGTGCCGGCATAAAGTAGTAGACGTCGACGCCCTCGTTGATGTCAGTATCGCGGTGGTCGTCGGCCGCCTGGCCAAAAGTGGAGTGTATCCACTCGGCCGGTCCGGTTGCCTGCCGTGCCCCGGGGCGGTACCTGACATTGGCGGTGGGGCCATATGAGGAGGTGTTGTGGGTAACTTGCACTTCGTTTCTCTAAGTTATTGTTTACTATCTACTACTTAGTGTCATTCATTTTTAGGATCCAGCCTAGCCAGTGCCAGTTGTTGACCTATACAAATACGGATCATTCCCACCTCTTCAGGATGTAAAGCGTTGTCGACAAACACACACGTATTCTACCGAAGGTACTTGACGTGTGCGGCCATAGTCATCGCACACTTGGACAATCGGATCACCTCAGCCACAAAATCATCAACGGTGTTCAAGTCAAGCACATAGGGTGGGATCGAGCTTCTAGCACGGTCCACGTTCACCAAGTTCGGGATGGACTCGAGCAGTCTGAGGTCGTCTGCCGACTGGTCGTCCAGTGGATTCCGCAACAGATTGAAGAATAGAGTGACTACAGCAGATACGGGGTAGAAGAGTAGTACCCTGTCGAAAAATACCCGTTCCTCAGTAGCTGGCCATCAGATTGAAGGAGCAGAGAGCAAAGTAGAAAAGGGGGTTGCTCACCAAAAGGCAGCTCCCATCAGGGAAGGAGCAGTATCGCGAAAGTACGTTAGACAAGACCGGCTGGCCTCGATAGACAAGGTCTGACTCTGACTGGACCCCGACGGCAAGGTCGCCGCCGTTGATACGGTTGCTTCGCTTCCCTCGGTGAGCCACGGGCTCGCGGCTCGGTGCAGAGCGGCCACAAGGTGCTGGTACTCAAAGTGCAGCACCATAACATGCATCCTCTGGCTGGCGTCTAAAGTCGGGTCAAGCCACCAGGCGCCGTTGCTGTTGCCGCCGTAGTTCCGGCCGAGCAGCATGGGCCGGAACCGGGCCGGGATGGAGAGGCGCCACCGCTCTAGCTCACTGTCCAATTCGCGCACTTCGCGCAGCAGCCCAGCGTTGGGTGTTGGGCGGTGATGTTGCTGGTTGGACGGATACTGCTGTAGGCGAATCGAGTATAGCAGCCTGCAGGCCTTGGACTTGATGATGCTCAGCCGTAAATCGCCCGGCAGGCAGCAGAGGGCGCCGCTACTGCTACTGCTACTAATGGTGGTGTCATTGTGGTCAACGTATAGCTCTTCTACGTAGCCCGGAGGTAGCGTAAGGTCGCAGTGCTCGTCTCCGATGCAGGGAGGCTGGCTGGTCCGAACTGCCACGATCTTGTCAAAGGTGTAGCAGAGCCAGAACAGCTTACGCGCGTGGCTTCTTGTCCGGCTTTGCCGCTCGGGCACATCGCTCCCTGCGCTGGGCTGCCTGTGTGCTCCCAACGAGAACAACAGGCGACAGGTTAGAGCCAGGGCCATTGAGGCCATCTGGATCTTGCCGCAGAAGAGGTGATACATGCACTGGTTCACGTTAGAAGCCGAAATGTACATTGGTAAGCACAGCACAGCTTAGCCTCTCCTCCCCCTTTTGGAACCGCAACTCACCTGCATAAGGCAAGTTTGGAGTCCCGTAATGTCCTGGCTCGCTTGGGCTAGGGGCATCAGGCGCTGGGCCTGCCAGACGCATGCCTCGCTGTCAATGATGACGGCCATGTTGCGCGGGCTCCATTGTGTATGAGTAATGATGGCAAGAAAGGAGAAGACGCAGGCCTGGGCTGCTGGGTTGGCTGCGTGGTGCGGATCGTAAGCTTGACTGATGGTTTCTTGAAACAAGACACCGTCGACGATGGGGAACACGAGTCGGAAGGGAGTCGCCCGGAATATTTGCAGATAGTCTTCGACGACATGTCGGGCCGGCAGTTCGATCTGATTGCAATCAGCCGGGTAGTCGCCTCCGGCACAGGAGGATGATGATAATAACGGCGACGTTGAATCGAGCCCCGACAGGTTGGAGAAGACGTGAGCCTGTCCCGTACACCGGCGGATCCAGTTCTGGTGGTCGACAGAGAAGAAAGGTGCACCGCTGGGCGAGACAATCTCGTCCAGATAGTATCGGGCAAATCTTAATCCACATGCTGGTGGCACGGAGGAGGACGACGAGCCCTCAAGACCGGTGATCGAGATAGTGACAGTAGGTGAGGCTACGAGTGATTTCATGTGGGTGTCGGTATGTAATGGAGGCACATTGTTGCTGTTGGTTCTGCTGGCGCTTGGTGAGATCAAGGATAAGCTGCTTCTTGTCGTTTCTGTCGCGCGACTATTAAGAAGACGAGTCAACAGCCCTTGGTCGCCATTCATTGAACGCGAGACTCTCCGGCTTCGTGGGCGAGGGCGAGCATCTTACAATGGGCGCAATGGCAACTCACAGTGTGGTGGGGGCTGCACGTCTTCTCCGGTGCACAACTCGCTTGAAGGTGCACTGTAGCTGGTGATGGCTGCACCAGTCGCACCGGGGCACAGCCGCATCGCAGTGAATCTGCAGTTGAGACGACTACGGTCAGTAAAGCAAGCAAGAATCACGAGTCACTGTTGCACATGCCTTCCTCTGATGGCACTCATCGCAGGCTCGCTTTTTAACAGTGAAGAAGCTGGCCATGGTTGCGTGGTGGATTTGGGCGGCCAAGTGGCAGATTCTGTGTTGGCAGACGATGGCTTTATGGCAGGTATGAATAAGATGCACTCGTGCCAGGAACGAGGGAACTAGTACGACCCAACATATATTATAGAGTAAGGTACGTATTGGTGAGCGTGTAAGTAGAAGGTGACCGGTAAGCTCGGTGAAGGTGGGGCAGATAAAATGTCACCGAAGGTCTGGAAAGTCAGGACCTGCGGCAACTCACCGAACAAGACCCAGTTTATTTTTTATCGCAAAGCAGTGACCCCACTAAAATTTTCTTATCGGGTCCTCCCCAACTCTCCATTTCTCTTGCGCCCGAGTCTGCTCCAAACAAGACTTTGTGGTTTTTCATTATACTCGTCTATTGAGAACTTTTTCGCACTGCTCGACTGGACTTCAATTGACGACATATTAGCGAGAAAAGCCGGTCGCAAATACAGATTCCACCATGTCAGGCTTTCAGATCCCCGGACTGGGGTTCGCGAAACCAAACGAGACCCTGCCGCCTGTGCCCGCCGACGTTCTCGCTGCCGCCGCGAGCTTCGAGGGTGTCGATCCCGAGATTATCGCCGCCGCCAACGGCACCTCGGAGCAGATGCAGAACCAGAATGAGGACGTCAATATGGGAGAGAGCACGACCGAGTCGCAGCCCGCCCCTGCGCCTGCGCAAACAGCAGAGCCCGTCGCGGCGGCACCCGTCGCCGCCGCACCACAGGAGGTCACCGACCCCGATGCCATGAACGTCGACGATGCCGCCGAGCCCCCTTCCCTGACAGACGCCCTCGAGGCCATGATCAGTGGTCTCGATCATACTCCCCCAGCCCAGCCAGTCGAAGTTCCCCAAGAGGCGTCTGCAGCAGCTCAAGAAGCGCCTGCGCCTACGTCTGCGTCCACACCTGCGACCGCACCTGCACCCGCAGCACCAGAGATGATTGACGCCCCTCAAATGCTCGAAAGACCCCAAATGATCGATGCCCCGACCTCCTCCACCGCCGACCAAGACCAACGAGACCCCGCCGCCGAAGGCGGAGGCGACCACCCCGAGTGGGAAGCCGACTCCTCGCCCTACGAGTCCTCCGACTCCTCCAGCGACTCCTCCTCGGACTCAGACGACGATTCGGACGCAGGCGGCTACCAGCTCCTCGGCGTAGAAGAGACGGCGCGCATGCTCATGGAAATGGAAGGCGGCTCAGACGACGAAGGCGGAGGCGACGGCAAGAACGGCGGCGGCGCGGGGGCCGGCGCCTCGGGACACCTGCGCACCAAGAACGAGGTCGCCGACGTCGCGGTCCCCGCCAAGCCCGACGTGACCCTCACCGCGGATGACAAGATTGAGGAGCTCGGGCTCGTGGAGCAGATTGTCGAGAACATCATGGTGGTGAGGGCTTTCACGCCGGGCGAGTACCAGGTCCTCGACACGGGGTCGGTGCTCTGCACCGAGGACCGGAAAGTGTTTGGCGTGGTGTGGGAGACGATCGGCAAGGTGCTGCAGCCGCTGTATACCGTCATGCTCTCTACGGCCGAGGAGATTGCCGAGGCCGGGCTGGCTGTCGGCGTGAAGGTGTACTACCCGCCCGCGCACGCCAAATTCGTGTTCACGCAGCCGTTGAAGAATTTGAAGGGATCAGACGCGAGTAACATCCACGACGAAGAGATTGCCGAGGACGAGATGGAGTTCTCGGATGACGAGAAGGAGGCGGAGCACAAGAGGCAGATCAAGCAGAAGAAGAAGGAGGCGAGGTTCGGCAAGGACGGTGGCGAACGTGGTGGACCTAGCGAGAAGAGGAGCAGGAATCATCGCGAGCCGCACCCGCTGCGGAACGAGGTCAGCGCCGCGGCTGCCGGTCCTTCTACCGATGGCGGTCTCAACTACGACGACGAGGACGATGGCCCGTACAAGCCCCTCGCGCGACCGCCTGGGTTCGGCCAGGCCCCGCCTGCGCAGCAGAGTTTCACTACGGAGCCTGAACCGGGTCGTTTCGGCGGGCGCAGAGGTGGACGTGGCGACTCTAGGGGACGCGGCGATAGGGGCAGGGGAGGAGGTCGTGGTCGTGGACGCGGCGGGTACGGAAACCGCGGGGATCACAGGGAGGGATACTCGGCGCCTCAGAGACATCACTCGGGCGGCGGCGGTGACCAGCAACATCAACATCAACAGCAGCACCAGCAGCGGCAGCAGGGTGCGCCCGCGCCGACGGCGCCGACGTTCAACTTCCCGTTCCCCGGGATGCCCGTGCCGCAGCCGGGTCAGCAGGGTTTCCCTGCCGTACCACCGCCGCCGCCGGGTTGGCCGACGCAAGGTGGTCAGCCTGGGCAGGGCGCGCAGCAGGGTGCTTATATCAACCCGGCCTTCTTTGCCGCGTTGCTTGGACAGATGCAGCAACAGCAGCAGCAGCAAGGCCAGCCCCAACAACAAGGAGGACAATATCAAGGCCAGCAGCCCCCTCAGCCTCCTCAGCCGCCGCACCAATGGGGTGCTCGACCGCCTCCGCAGTAGATCAACTTTCATCAAAGTTCAAGATGAGATGTGGCGGTAGTGCTGGTGGTGGACAGGTGAAGGTGCAAAGCTCGACGCGCTTAGTTGAGCTCGGCATAAGTACCATATGAGGTGGGAGGCAGCGTGGGGGTGGGATTGGAACCTCTGTGATTCTGCACTTAGGAGGGTGAGGCCAAAGGAGACCTATGCCAGCTACCAGCGTAGACGAAATCTTGAAGCAAGGAACGTGCAAAGGCTTCGATCGGATGGCTTGCTCTAGCTGTCACGTTTGGCACACTGAGCCGGGAGGCTACCAGCCAAGGTAAGGCCCAACCGCAACCTACAAGCGCGAAGCTAGAAAGGAGAGCGATCAGTGGTGGCTATTTGTATCGCATTGTAATGATTAGAACTGCGGGAACTTGCGACGCGACTATACGCGAAGAGGAGGTACGGATAGATAAAAGTGAAAAAATAGGTTTTTATTTCGACATTAGACTGTGTGTGTTGCGCTCTGACTGACGGAAGAGGCTGTCTCCGAAGCGTCCGCCTGAAAATTCCGAAATGAACGGGTGGCATCTATTTTGTTCTAGGCTTGGTCGCTATGATGATCAAATGCAGCAATTCAGCCATTGATGAATGGCCTTTGAATATCAACGATGCCCGACGCTACACTGATCTGTTGTAGGGGACGTAGACAATCGAGATGAGACAGGTTTGTCGCGGAGCTGCATAAGGCTGGTGTACGGATCGCCGCCGCGGTCCTGTCTCCGTCTGTCTTCTCCCGCGTCCAAATAGCCGGATGCGCAGCAGGAGATCTCCCTCAGATCAAGACAAGGAAGACGGCAGGTGTGGCTAGGATCAATTGAAACATTCCATAACCTACTTCTCGGGCTATCCGGCTGATTGCGGGAGCATGCCACACAAAGGTAGTAAAATGACGCTGTGCCGATCTACGACGTCGAAGCCAGGTTTTCTCGTTGTGTCTGCATAATACGTTGTCTGAATTGCTGGCGCTGCTCTTTGTGTAAGGCATGGACGGTTTGATGTGCTGCAGCCTGCATAGCGAGTCAATTTCATGGATGCAACGCTCCCTATACCCGGGAATGAGGATTGCGCGGTTTCCTGCCCCCAACTTCGTTCTGACGGAGACGACTCCATTCGCAATGTTGATGTTGTCGGCGTGTTGGTTGCCTGCGAAGACCTACAGGCTGCGGTAATTGACCCCCGTCCTCCGTATAGTCACATCCGGGTCTTTTCGTTAGATTGCCCGCTGATTAGCCATCATGTTTCCGCGTGTTCTCGCATGGATGTCATGGATGTCGATGGATAAGGCTGGTGGGCGGAGTTCATCTCCAGTGTGGAGAGATGGGCCACAATGCGAGAAAAATGCCAGCATCTGCCAGGTACCGAAAGGCGCTTGGCAGTGGCATGCTGTGGAGGCGGGCAGATCATGGGGGAGGCAACCGAAAGTTGAGACTTGACAGTGATGGCGAGTGCTCACTGCGCGACGGGTACGAAATAGGCGAACCAAACCTAATGGCACGAGCGGACGAACCGGCTTGTTTCAAAAGGTCTTTCCAATTTCGGTGTCACGGGTGTGTTGATCGAACGAACCCTCGAGGGCTCAAGTAAGAGCGGTCTTGTGGCTTTAGGCTTTTTGGTGGCTTGACGGCGCCGTTCGATGCATGTCTTAAAATTAGCCTATAGGTTAGGATTTGTTGTGTATTGTCTTTGCTTGTTTCCCTGAGACCACGCAGGAGATCTTGTTTGAATTTTCTTCCGGCGCACTGCGGGAAGTCTAAACGCAACCGAAAAAGCAACGAGATCGAACGGTGTGCAATTCTCGGTTCTTGGAGTCTCGACCGCTTGTTGGACTCAAACACACCGACTTCTGTCTGGCAGGCAGGACAACTGAAAGGTCCTCGCGGTAACGTGGCCTGACAAGTCTCGTATTCGAGGCAGATGGGCGGATGCTGAGCACTGACTGCTTTCTGTAGCTTAAGAAGATCAAGAAAGGGTAGTTGGGTGACAGAGAAAGCTGAAAGGCCCTTGCGACTCGCGAGGGAGAAGCACAGAGCATGTCGTGTCATTCTTTCAAAGACAAGATTGCTTCTTTAGGGGTCTTTAAGAGAGGCAGTGGTTTGGTGATAATTACGGTGATGGCCGTGGCATTCTACTGTACTGTGTAAGTGTAAGCAGGTCAGCGGTGCCTATATCAACCCTTGCGAGGTTCCGGGCCGAATGGTGAGATGAGGATGGGCAGGCCAGCTTTGCCATGACACACGCCAGGCTCTAGCCAGTCTTTTCGTTTGTGAGGCGCCGAGGCTATCTGCAGTATCTGCTGTTTTTCAGCTTTAGAAGAATGCTATTTCGGTGCATTCTTGCTACATCCCCATGTGGCGATAGGCTGCCTTTGTGTGTGTGGCTCGCATGAACATGGCAGTCTTGCTGTGCTTCTCGAAGGCAACGGGATAGGATGCTGTTTGGGCGGGAAAGAAAAGGGACCAGACTGCATGGGAACAACGTCGGGCGACGAAACGCAGGAGACGGCGCGTATCACAGCAATAGTAGTGGTGTGTATGTGTGCCAGTCTGGTGTTTGTGTGATTGGTACTCCGTACTCCGTATGGATTGAATGTGTTGGTCCCCTGTTGGCGATGACGATGGGGATGTTGGAGTTTGGGGGCTGCTTGTGATGGTTCGCTGGTGGTTGAAGCTCGGGCCGGACAAACGCCTTCTTTTCCCGTCCCACATGGCAGGGTTTGATTGGACGAACCGCTCAGGAACCCCGAGCAAACAATTTCGTTTATTCTGTGGGTGTGTGGCGGATACGAGTGGATACAGGTGCAAGAGAGCCAATCAGGCGGAGTCGGTACCTGACAGGCACGGCAGGATGGGCGTTGGGAGGCCCCTGCCTTAGCGCGGCCCGTGCATGTGCGCTGATGAAGATGGGCGCCGGTGTGGATGGGCAAGCCGCAAAATGCGACCGAGGGATTGAGGTCGGTACCTACGTCGGAAACCGATGGGATGGGTGCGGGATTTGTTGCCTTCCATTGACTGTGTTTGTATCAAGATTGAAGGGGGAGTCGCTGATATATGGCAGTCAATCACCACCCTGTGGTCGAGAGTGAATGACAGTGGGTGATGCCTGGCACGTCTACTACGTACCTACGTAGGACAGGAAGACAGATGTGTAACTATTCAAAAGTGTTTGTTTCCTCCCTGATTGTGTGCACCTCTGCCAAAGTTCATCCCAAGCGCAGGGAGAGGCCAGAGACAGGGCGGATGGTGAAACGCTGACTCGGTGGTGTGGGCGTGGATCAGATGCATTGTCGAATGACCGTTGGAGCCGCGGTTGCATTCTTTGTGCGCGTTTATCCCAATCCGTCCAACTTCCATTTGTCCAAAATGTGATCCGAGCCATCACCCACCGTTACCCAAGAGACATCAGCCAACTACAGTACTTTACATAGTACGCAGGAGAAGTTAGGTACCCTTACGAAGTACATAGACCGCAGGCTGTGATATCCCCGGACGGCACTAACGCGGCAAAGACTGCAAGCCCTGACTTTGACCGTATCGCACGGCCGCCTTGTCCACGCGCCATTCCCTTTTCATCTTGATATCTCACGGTCCTCGTGCAGTCGCTCCCCCATCAGTTCCTGCCTGCTGTCTTGGTACCTGTACCCGTCCGTACCTGTATTCGTTCCTACTTTTACTACGTACAGCAAGTGATCCTGAAAACCAAGATGGAGGGTGAGAGTGAGAGCGAAAGTGAGAGCAAAAAAGACTGAGGGTACCTGTCGCGGCAGGGATCTGCTTCCCATCCACACCCCAGTCGTCCGACCCTTGTCATCCGTCCAACGTTGCTTGGGGCCTCTTTCCCAACTTCCCATTCGCCCAGGGTCCTGAACTGGCAGTCTGCGAAGTGCGTGCAACCTCAATGTCCCCGGTTCTCTTCTTCTCACTGTCCCTTCCCACTTTTGTGTGTGCCCTCTTCTTCCCATCCCATCCCCCCCGTTCCGTCCGAACTGCATCTCACTCGCTGAGCCTGACTGCTTCCTGCCGTCGCTGCACTCTCTCACCTTCAGAGACAGACAGAGAGACTTCATCGTCGTCCGCTCTTTCGCAGCTTCCCAAGAGTCACGGTGTGCAGATTCATCCGTTCTTTCTTCCCACACAAACAAAACATCATCGACGTCCCCCCAATCGTCTTCATGACAATTTACTAAGACGGTTTGTGACTGTCCAATGACTGTGAGCTGGTAGTGAGATCTTGCAAAAAAAACAACGACCTCACCTCACCCACCTTCTCACTTTACTCTCCTTCCACCGGGCCTAGAGCCACTTCACATTCGTTCAATTGCACGCATACGTACGCGCAACAACACTCGACTTTCAACCCACAACACCAAGGCAGCCAGTCTTTCTCTCAATTCAATAGTCCTCGACCACCGCGACTCCCTGGTCGGACTTGGACCTATTCGCTACTTGCTGGTTCATTCTTTCGACGATCGCCTCACGAACATCGCAACCTTTTCCCTTCTGGAGCCGGATCCCTTGAGCATTCCCATCACCAGCCTCTCCCGTGCACGCCAGATATCCTCCCTCCATTTTCCAGATACCCCGCCTCGACCCACGAAACTCACGATACGAATCATTCATTACGCGCCTCACACGCCTGACCTTATCTTCAACCATCCCGACGACTTCTGGCTGGACTAGTCGGATTTGACTCATTTCCATTAACCCACGCCCGCAACTGCCGCAATGGCTCACCATCACCACCTCCACGCCCGTAGGCATATCGCGCCTCGCAACCCCGATTTCTGGAGCAATGTTGGCGACAAATTCAAGGATCTGAATCCCTTTGCCTCCAATGACGAGGCCACGACAAGCAATGGAGGTAATCTCAAAATCAGACAGGACGACAATGATGATGATGATGTCACGACCACACGGCGCGCTAATACGAAGAAAGGCCGCTCGACCGTTATCAAGACCATCTACCAGACCGTCACTGGCGATGATGCCGTCGCCGCCCCCACGAGCACCACCTCAACCAAGCTGATTGTCGCTCAATCACCCCTCCCAACGAGGTCGAAATCGACCACAGTTGACTCCACCGAAACCACCATTGCCAGGGCCGGCGCCCCCATCGTTAAGACTGCCGACAGCTCATCCACCGCCATCGATGCTGCGTCTACCTCGTCGCTGCCCACCGTCATCGAGGATCCCTTGACCGAGAGCATCCAGACCACGCTCGCTATTGCCACAGACGCGCCCACGTTCGCAAAGACCACCAAGACTGCCGCCACTGCAGACAATGCTAGCATCATCTCCAGCGCTTCCCCTAGTGCAACGTCAACCACGGACAAGTCGACCAGCAACGAGACCAGCGGTGCCGCGAAGGCTGGCATTGCTATTGGTGTTTTGGCCGGTGTTCTCGTCGTGTTTTTACTCGTCTTCTTCCTCTTCAACCGTCGCAAGAAGCAGATGGAGCAGCAGCGTCTGGCCGACGAGGATGAGAAGACTCATGGATTTGGGGCCGCCGCTGCTGCCGCTGGTAGCCAGAACCCCCGCGCTCCTCGTATCAGCCTGCGCCCCGTTACCCAGTTCTTGCCCAACTTGAACCTCGACAAGCGCGCCAGCAGAGGACCTGCCGGAGGACCTGCCGTCAACATGAACGCCAACCTGGCACCCGCTGCCGCTGCTCTGGGTCTTCGCAACCCTGGCCAAGGCGCCTGGGACAGACCGGCAACGAACCAGAGCTCGAACCCCGCGAACCCCTTTGGTGCTCAAGCCGAGAGAATCAACGGTCCCATCGCCGAGGAGTCCGTCAGCTCCATAAGCCTCAACGAGAAGCCTCTTCCCAACGTCGGCGAGCCTGCTCCGGGCACTGCCGTGAGTGATATCCCCGCCAACGCCGCTCCCAACGATGCGTCTGTTGCTGCAGGTGCTGCGGCAGTTGGTGCTGGAGCTGTCGCCGCTGGAGGTCTGGCTCGCAAGGCGTCGACCCGCAAGGACGGTCCCAAGGCACTGGACCTGACTCTGCCCGCGCCTCCTGCACCCTTGTCTACCATCCCTGCTTCTCCCTCTGGAACCACGTTCAGCGCCGACTCTGCCGGCCCTGGTCACCAATCTAACGGATCCACTGGCTCTGCTGCCATTGCCGCCGCTGGAGGTCCCGCCAACACCACTGTTCACCGCGTGCAGCTCGACTTCAAGCCCACTCTTGAGGATGAGATGGAGCTGAGAGCTGGCCAGCTTGTGCGCCTCCTCCACGAGTACGATGATGGCTGGGTAAGTTTTAATGTCCATAATGATGAGTTTGTAAGCTGACTTTGCCCTAGGCGCTCTGCATTCGCTTGGATAGATCCCAGCAGGGTGTTGTACCGCGCACCTGCCTCTCCACTCGCCCGGTTAAGCCTAGACCTCCTCAAGCCCAGGGACCTAATCAAGGACCTCCTCGTGGTCCTCACATGGGCCCTGGTGCTCCCCGCGGTCCCGGTCCGAACTTCCCTCCTGGCCAGCGCCCCATGAACCCTCAGGGCGGTCCGCCGTACCCCCGCCCCGAGTCGCCCGCAGCTCGTCCCATGAACGGTGGTGGCCGACCTCAGTCCCCCGCCGGCAATGGACCTATGGGCCCCGAAGGCCGACCTCAATCCCCCGGTCCTCGCTACCAGGGTCCTCCGGGACAGCGATCGCAAAGCCCCAACGGAATGGGAGGTCGCAAGCCAAGCCCCCCGGGACCTACCAGAATTCCTCAGCCCAGCCGAATGAACCCTAATGGTCCCCCCAACGGTCCCATGAACGGCCCCATGAATGGACCGATGAATGGGCCGATGAACGGACCCCCAGTCCAGGGCCGCCCAGGCCCACCGATGGGACCTGTCGGTCGCAAGCCCGTCCCCGGACAGGCTGTGTAAATGACAACCAAAGCAGCGTTCATATACACTGACTCCCAGCGTATTTAACGTCTTTTGGCACAGAGACTGGGGATTCATCTTCGTTTGGCGATAGACTAGGGTCTACTATGCATTCTGGACAGCACGGGCACGGCGTTTCTGCGAACTACTACAAAAAGAACTTGGGGGAGATTTCCTCTTCTACTGGACTCTGACGATGAATCCGATCAAGGGGCGAAACGAACCCCGACGACGCGTTTATACCTTTCAAGTCACTCATTCATGACACCCGCTTTTGATACACCCTTTTTGCAGCCTGGTTTCAGTCGTGGCTTGCAATTTTCTTTTCTTTTTACGCTTCTTCACACTCGCCTGAACACCCACTGTTTCGCGATTTCGATTCACCTACCTTGGCCCCATCTTGTACCACGCGACTGCAGCGGCGGCCATGGAAGATGGGGGCAGGGAAACGCCTAGTGCTTAATGTATATTGCTCACTTTTGTTGTTTGTTGTTTCTTTGACACATCTCGTTTCTTCTTACAGCTCTGGTGGCTGTGTTTGGTCGTTTAGCAAATATGCCGAGCGACCTATTTTGGCAGGATGAGACGCGAGTGCTGATTTCGTTGGTTCTTTTTGAGATGCCTTGAAGTGGCATGATTGGGAACAACATGGTGGATGGAGAGATGGAGATTTCGCAGTGGTTGAGACAGATCGAGAGAGAATCTAGGTCCTCCTGAAAGGGATGGGACGCTAGAACTGCTTCTTTGTGCCGAGCAAGCTAGGTAGACAATAAGATGCCCATACCTGAAAACTATGTTCCTCATTGCATTGAACTCATGTTTCTGAAATTGACGAGCCTGCTAATTCCTTAAAATCTGGCTCCCCTATGGTATCCGAGCTCTGAAGTACCTCATGGAGAGGCGTTACTAACAGCATCATAGAAAGATGGGATTACATCCAGTCATGTTGCTCTGTTTCGAGTGCCCATCCAAGAGTCGTCTCACGAATCCAGGGTTGATGTGCCAGTCGCAATCTAGTAGGTTTCAATGATACTCTGATCTACACGGCTTTCTGCAGGCCGGTGCCGGAGGAGTCATCTTGCTACTTAGACAGAAGTTGTCACTAGAGGAGATAAAACCAAGTGGTGTTTTTGTAGATGTTCAATCACGAGTACCGAACGAAGAGGTGAAAGCAGCAGCTATGGTATGTGGCCAGATAAAAATGCGTAAAGCTACTCGTTCGCCATATTACCGTGTCTTTTCTTTTCTTTTCTTTTCTTTTCTTTTTTTTTGCTTTATCGACAACCGTTGGAACGAAACAGATGGGTGAAGGATGATAAGCAGTTCACGGCCTTTCGTCTTGGGGATTGTAGATTGAGAGCTAACTACAAGTTATTCATGTGTAAGCTAGGCAGAGATTCATCTGTGTAGGTGACCTTGGGAGGCGCAACGTACATCGATTACATAGCGATACGCTCTGGGGATCCCTCAAAGGTATGACGAGAGATGTTGCCATTCTTCGCAATGATGTTGTCATACTTGCCGCGACAGACCAGTAGCCTTTGATTTGCGCGGGCGGTCCTCGTAGCAACGGGGCCCAGAGTCGCGCAACAGGCTGTTGTAGATGCCCAAGTTGCTGCAGCGAGCCTGAATACTTGCCCATAAAACTTGCCAAACCAATAGAGCGAAATGGACTGAGTCAATCGGTTACATTTTGATGCTCTCTTACTTGAAAAATGTATAGGGAGTATCAGTAACGCCGTTACGAGGGCTGTAGATTCACGACAGCGTAGGTTCACGGCAACGTACATCTTGATAGAGCGGGGTTCACCCGCCTCTTTTCACATGTGTCGCCGGTGCTGCAGATGTTGCAATGCAGACGCGGCTAAAGACCGTCCTATCCGAACAATGATTCAAGAGTCTCGACACCGACTTATTATCTAGAGATGTACCAGAGTAGCACCGGCGGGAACCCGGCCGCGGCTCTTTGGTTGTAAACAAACGGGGACCACTCGTGTCTTGTTGACTTCCGTGGATCGTCGACACGGCAGGTCGTACGTGGAGGGGGTTGGATGCTTCTGTCCGAGGATGTTACCATTTCAACGTCTGGAGATATCTTTTCTGAGCGGGGAAAGTTAGGACGATTTGCAAGGTGGGAGAATAGAAACACAATAAATGAGAAAATATAAAAGGGTTGAATCTCCTGGGTGTTTGACCTCGACGGATTATCCCAGATCATCATCCAGCAGCAAATCTCATCAAGATATCCCTTCCATTAGCCTCACCCGGCATTGAACTCTTCTTCAAACAACCAAAAACAACATGAAGTTTTCAGTCTTGATCCTCCCCGTCCTGGCATCAGGCATCACCGCGCTCTACGTGCCCGACAAGCTGGTGCAAGCGTTCCTCAAGGACTCGTCAGAGGGCAACTGCTGCAACGAGACGCCCTGCTTCATCGGGTGTCCAGTGGAGGGAGTATTCCGCGTAAGTAACCTTTTTTTTCTGGTTTTCACTGTTCGATCTCCACGCACTTCGTGTACTCTGGCTCAGCTGGAGTTGAGAAAGTCTAATGTACTGACGCATTCATTCGACGGATCAGCTTTGCTGCTGAACAACGAAAACCCGCAGGCCAAAATCAATGGGAGCCCTAAGGGGCCCAGGAGTGGTCGTTGTATGGAGTTCTTCTGTGGAAGTTTAAGCTCGGCCGACCAAACGTGTTGGGGTGAAGGGGGAAAGAGTGAGGAGGACCGATGCCTTTCGTTATGTTGCTGTTTCTTGGAGGAGAAGCAGAGCTGTTCCTTGTACCACTGATCTCCCCTGAATGATGAAATGACGAATGAGACGATCCTTTGACATGGCTTTACTCCGCGTCTTTCTGTGATGTTCTGGAGTTACCCTGCTCCCGCGCTTGCATATGCCCGAATGAACCATGTAAGGGATTGCAAGATGAATAACCACCTCAACATAGTATAGGAACGGCCCATCGTTCGTTTTTCGGATCGAGCCCTCAGTACTGCGTTATGCATGTCCAGAATCTCCTTTTCGAACAAATGGCTGTCATCTTTCAACGCCAGTATGTCCGATAAGGCTGGTATTCAGCATTGGTCCTCGGTGGCCTATGATTGTTTCGGTAGATATACCATGGCTTCCGACGAATGTTACGATGTCTTCCTCTAACTTCCTGTCTGTTTTCTGGACAAGACATACTTGATCTAGGGGCAATCCGGGGTGGGCTCTCCCGACACAGAGATCATCAGCATCGTTGGGAGCATCGGTAAAAGCGACTTCGATGAATTGTGTGAGATACAGACGCGGATATAGGTGCTTTGATAGTCTTGGAGACGCTTGCCTCGTGGTCTGAGTGGTCCTCCTCGGGCTGATACCCAGGGATGGTCGTGATCTAGAATTGAGACCCACTCTTGAATTACCTTTACGACCATCGTGATTGGCCGAAGGCTCAGTTATGCTGTCACTGCTCACGGCTCGGCGCTTTGAGGCATGCTCGGGTTTCTAGATGAGTATCTCATAGTTGATGACCGGGAATGTCGAGGTGAGCATAGGCGATTCCGCATTCTCGAAATCTGCTTTTTAACTATTCAATGGAGGGATTCGTCGTTCTCCTGCTGGGCGAAACCAATGGCTCTGGTCAAGGCCGCAGGCTCATAGAAATTGAGCTTATTATATCCCAAGAATTTGGACGCCGCCGTATCAATCGGTCTTTCGATAATTTACTGGAAAACATAATCCATGTATCACTGAGGGCGGAGCAAAATATCGCAGGGTCATCCAATGTTCGCAACTGCCGCTACCGCGCGGCGCTCAATTCCTGGGGTACCGTATTTACATTGTACAAAAGTTTTCCGACCGTCCGAGTCGTCGTTTATGAGTTCTGAATCGCCTCCGCCTGCGTCGTATCCTTGGCCTTCCTCGCGGCCTGTTCTCTGTCGTATTCGATCAATTGCTTCGACCAGCTGTGTTTTGCAGTGTTAGCCCAGACCTCTCTCTAATGCGCAATTGTTCGCAATGACACGTTGGATACGTGGACGTACTATCTGCTGGGGAAGAACCGGCCCTCCTGAGGCATCACGTAGCGCACCTCCTTCTCGGCGCTGATCTTCCAGATAACAGCAACGACACCGGCCATAACGGCACCGATGACGGCGGTGTTACGCTTCCAGTTCGCGGGCTGGGCGTACCAACCACCGGCCGGCGACCAGACGTGCTTGGGGTAGCTATCGTGGGTATTAGAGGAGCTGCTTTCGAAGGATCGGGGTGGTTCGCATTCTATGAGGACATGCGCTGGGTTAGAACTTACGGAACCTTAGGACCGCCTCCCTGTTCGTGAGTTAGCAATTGGCCAGGAATTACTGATTGAGGATTGACGTACCATTTTGACTGTATTTTCAATATGAGGGGTTGGATAGTGTGGTGATGGCAATCGCTTTCCCGCCTCGACTCGATATTGGAGCTTTTGCCCTTGGACGTCGCGAATAGTGAAGTGCTGCCATCCATTCCTCCCGAAAAGTGGGACCAGAGCCATTCCGGAGCTGCGGAGGAGCGGATATTCCGCGCCTGCTTCTACTGACTTTCTCGCATGGCTCGTGCACGGTACCCCCTAGCATGCTGGAGCTCACACGACTTCCAATCGGTCGGCTCCAGAAACTTTTTCGTGACGGGAGACCGGCGCTGTTCGAGAGAATTCGGGACGTGGAACATTTTTCCCTTGCCCCCTTTGCGATTCAACCCCCAGCGAATACCGCATCCACCCAATTGCTCTCGACCGCATTGTACAACACCTTTTCTTTCGTTGCCTTTTTCTATTCGTTACGTTGTTACTGGGCTTTCGAACAGCTCAGCAACAACCCAAACTCGACCACCGAATGGCGTCCCAGATGAAGAGGTTAAGGATATCAAGATGCACCGGGCAACTGCTCAACGCCCAGGCCAGGACACACGCCTCGCCGTGCCTGACGCCCATCCCCTTTAGAACACAGCTTCACCACAGCAACCCGGCGCGGACACTATCGACCTCCTCCCCGTCCTTGGCAGCAGTAGCAGAAGAAGCATCATCCGACGCCTCAGCCAACAACATCACCACCACCACCGCCCAACCCGTCAAGTCGAAGTCGAGAAACCTCCCGTCACCCGCCCCCGAAAAGGCCCTCCAGTCGGCCAAGCTCGCCGCCCTCCACGCCCGCCTCTCCCTCCCCGAGAAGCTGCCCCTCCAGTCCCTCGCGCGCACCCTCGTCGACCCCTCCGCCGACTCAAACCCCAACTTCAACAATGCCAACCTCGCCGTCGTCGGCGGCTCCCTCATCAGCTACCACGTCTCCGAGTGGCTCATCACCCACTACCCGCGCCTCCCCATGGCCATCCTCTACGAAGCCATGCGCGCCTACGGCGGCCCCGACTCGCTCTACCGCGTAGCCAGCCAGTGGGGTGTCGAGAGCGCCGCCGCCCCCGGAGGCGAAGTCGACCCGGGCCTGCTGCAGTTCTCCCAGGACCCCGCGGCCCACGGCGTCGTTCACGGCCGCTGGGGCTACGTCCGCAAGGAGCACCTCGAGCTCGACAAGTTCAAGTGGCGCCGCTCCGTCTCGTCCCGGGTCATCCTCGACGACGAGTTCGGCGACGTCCTGCACAAGCCCAGACGGAACCCGCTCGAGCCCAACCCCGACCCCAATGATCCCGCACTCCTGAAGGAGCAGCGCGAGAAGCTCCGCAACGACGCCTACGCCGCTCACGTCCGCGCCGTCACGGGCGCCGTGTACGCCCACGCCGGCCGCGACGCCGTGCGCGCCTTCATCGACGCCCACATCCTCAGCCGCCGCGTCGAGCTCGAGAAGCTCTTCAGCTTCAGGCTGCCCACGCGCGAGCTGGCGATGCTCTGCGCGCGCGAAGGGTTCGAGGCCCCCGTCGCGCGGCTCGAGAGCGAGACGGGCCGTCTCAGCAGGACGCCCGTCTACGTCGTCGGCATCTACAGCGGGCGCGACAAGCTCGGCGAGGGCACGGGCGCCAGCTTGGATTTCGCGCGTCTGCAGGCGTCGATGAATGTTCTCAAGGCGTGGTACCTTTACAGCCCCGGCGCCAAGGTGCGGGTGCCGAGTGATATGCTAGTCGAGGGCGCGAAGCCGTGGCAGCCCGCGCACATTGACATGGGAGAGATCATCTAAAGAAGATATGTTGGGGACAAAATGGGGAAGAAGCAAAAAGAAGAAAAACGAAAAGCAAAATGCATCGACTGTAATTCATCCATCGGAGAGGGAGAGAAGAGAAGGGCGGCAAGAGAGGAGAAGTGACGGAGAACGTTGTCAAAGGGTCGGGGGACAGGTGATCCCGGACTTTATCAAGATGCCTTTTTGTTGGGCAGTGTACATTTTGAAGCAAGGACATGTAGAAGGTCAAGCATGTCTCTGTAAGATGAATAGATTTGTAAAAACAATGACACACTCCTCGAAACGGGGCCATTTACTGAACTTCATCGTCTCTTCATCAACCCCTATTTGACACTTTCAATCGGTTGCAAAACACTTCAAAGTAACAAACACACTTTTCATTACAATGGATCTACTTCCAATGATTAACCTACGCCATCCTTCAATCAGGAGTCCTCCACCTTCTCGGGTATCTTCATTCCAGCAACTCTATAATCCGCCTATTCAACTAAACTGATCGCCCTCGCCCAGCTTGTGCGCCATTCCTCGCCTCACCAAGCTCCGGTACCGATCCTTCTTGATCCCCGCCTCCCTCTCCAGTCTAAGCTTCTTCTTGCGCTCGTAGACGGCCCTTACCGTCCCGCGAATCTGCTCCCGTCCCTCGGCGTAATTAGCCCTCGCCAACGCAGCCACCTTTTCAATCTGATCAGGCGTGTAGACAAAGTTCCACGTGCTCAGGTAATCCGTCGTGCCGGGGTTGATGCCGGGCGCCTTGGGGTTGGCGAGGTACGGCAGGTAGATGATGGCGATGCCCGCGTCGGGCTCCATGAGCTGCCACGAGTTGGACTCGGTAATCGCCTTGGAAGGCGGCGGCGTCTCAGACGACGACCGCTCCTGCGTTGTGCCGACCCAGACGGTGCAGTACCCCAGCTCGCCTGACTCCTCGTCGCCGGGCGTGAACTTGGCCGCCTGCCCGCTCTTCGTGTCCTCGTCCGGCTTGCGGTGGCCCTCTTTGTCCTGGTGCTCGTGCTGGTGCGCCTTGGCCTCGCGGAGCTTCTGGTTCGCCTCCTGCGCGGACGCGGCCTGGGCTTCCGAGAGCTCATCGCGAACCTCTTTCGGGGACTCGCTTGCCTTGGGCCAACCGACGCCGACGGGCCAGCCTTTGATGCCGCGCTGGCGGGCGTAGCCGTCGGCGACGGCGAGCCAGTTGTCCGTCTTGATGTCTGCGGAGGCGTCAAAGGCGACGACGACATCGACGTCGCGGCCGGGGCGGAGGAGCGGGTAGATGGGGAGGTTGTTGGACATGCCGGCGTCCATGAGCTGGATGTATTCGGTGTTGTAGGTGCTTTTCGGGGCTGTCTTGGGCAGCTTGTCTTCCATACCGTAGGCAAAGTTTGCGACGGTGCCGGGATCGATTGGATGGACCTTGCTGAGGTCCTCGTTGTAGCCCGAGATCATGCCGTCCAGGGCGCCGAACCCAGCGAGGCTCTGTACGAGGGGTTTGATCTCATTGTAATAGTGGCTCAGGGTCGCGCAGAAAGCGCTTCCAAAGACGCCGAGTAGGAATGGCATGCGGGTCTCTGGGAGATGGAAGCCTTCCTCGGGAGGCACGTCGATGCCGTTCTTGAAGCGTCGGCCCATGGCCCAAGTCGGGATGCC